TGTAACACACTCGCAATTATTAAACAAACTTTTAAATATGCATATGATTGAGGAAAAATCCATCAGCACACTAAAAACCATATATACAATCCATACAACCGCACATTGTAGTGGGGCCAACCACAGTTGATGCACTCGATTCGTTTGTGCAACATTTGGCATTGTTCATTTTGTGGCTCACAGTTGTGCAATGGCTTAGTTATAGTGTGTGTAATTAAAAGCAAACATAAGTTCTAAATCAATGTCAAAAAATTTCAAATGTTAACGAAGAGAACGGAGAACGCAATCAAAATGAAACTTATATTCAAAGGGGGATTTTAATTATTTGTTTGTTAGTTGCATGATTTGAGCGAGCACTAGAAATATAATTGATCTTTAAACGATACATAATAGAATATTATTACAAACTTTTATAGTAAAATATAATTTTTTCACACAGCATAGCTCGCATCAATTTAGAGTTGAGTAAAGTATTAATACGCCAATCACTTTATGATTGATGGGTGTTCGTATTTAATAAGCTTTTAATTCGTTTAATCTGTTGATTGTTTTTGTTTGTTTTTTCATTGAGAGTCAAAGAGCAAATTTATATTGCTCTTTTATCTATTCAATAATAACAATTTCCGTGCTGTACATACAATATGCTCCATTTATGATGACAGTATATTTCAAATACATGGTTTATGTCATGTTTGATTACCAAGATAAACAATTCGTGTTCGTTATTGTGCCTAAGGGCTGTGTTCCACTAAACTGGGCCAAATACCCCACAATGCGGCCATAAACTGATGAAGTACTCTATGGACTGATTTTCTGATTATCCGATATGATTTCGCATTCGTCCGTTTGATTTCATATTCATTTTCAATATCATTACGTATCGACCGGTCGGTCGGCTGTATTTCTGATTATGCAATTGAATTTAATTAAAGATCGCCGGAGTGTGGAATTGGTATTAATTAAAAACTACATTTTTGTGCCCGAGATCTGTGACATAATTTCACACTTATAGTGTGATCAGTTCAGCAGTTTTACAAATTCTTAGACAATGGTATCACGTCTGGGAATTGTCTGTAACTTTTCTGGCATTCGTTCGTTGTTTCTCTTTTTGTCCACTCAACTGGTTGAACACATCAATATTGATATTGCTAGAGTAGTTGGTACCGCAAATCAATTGTAATTGTCGATTGAACATTGGACCGATCAAGTGACAAATATCTAGGCTACGTCCAAAGAAATTTACAAAGTGCCTGACCTCGAGAAGCCAGATCACAGCACAGCACAGAACAGCACAATACAGTACAGTACATGCAAAAAATATATCAACGCCAATAGTTCTCATAAAACATAAAAGAGAAGAGTAAACAGAGAAAAGCAAAACCAACTGTTGGCAAACAGTTTTCCGCGCATTTGTATGCCATTCAATTGAAATCGAATTGAATAAATTCCACTTGATTTAATTGCAAAGTCTGCCGAGTGACGACAATTCTATCGGCGCCGATAAACGCGTTGAGTTACGCCCAACGAAAAATATCTGATAAACCAATTTGACAACAAACAGAACTCTGTTGTCATAGATGATTATATCATATCAAGCACGACATGTGAAAGTGGATAATCCAATCCTTTTAAAAGCATTAATCTGAAAAATATATATGACATGTCAATTACATATTCATTTGCAATTGTAATCCATGTTGGATCAGCGTTCAATAAAACAAATACTTACCAAATAGCCAAGTAGCATGCGCCTTCCTTGCTTATCTTAGCTCATTCATTTCGTATTTATTTGCAATATTGTTGATGTCTGTTTAATTAAATAAAGCAAACACAAGTGCTTTCTATTATGAGTATAACAGTCAGTAGCCAATATAAAAGTGTAGATATATAAAATATTCAATATTAAGATCCTCCAAATTTTATAAAAGAAGTTAGAAAGTATTGATTGTACTGATTCTTGGCTACTTTTTCCTAGTATCTTTGGTTTCATTATTATCATACGATAAGAAACGAATTCCATTGTGGCCAAATCAATACGTCGATAATCTAGTTTAAGTCCCGACAATTCGCTCAAATCTATTTATTTTTCTTCTGATAAATAAAATTCTGATAAGCCATTCGGAAGAATGGTATCGCATTATCAACTTCCGTCCTAGACAGCATTTAATATTTTATTTAATTAAGATTCGCATATTGACTGATTAAATTTTTGTTCTTTAAGGTGAATTCGGCAAATACCAATTCGCCCAATTTTTCCTGCAAGTGTTGTCCGCATTGACAGCGGGCATGCACATGCTGTCCCTGGTGACTGTTGCATCAGTGCCCGAGCATCGCTGCTTTATAGCCGGCGTGGATAACAGCAGCCTGTCCCAGCTGCCATGGAACTCCAGCGCCATCCTAGAAGCCATTCCATTAAAGCCTTCCGGCGAGCTGGACTCCTGCCATATGTACAATGCGAGCGCTGGGGATCAGAGCCAGATACCCTGTGAGAAGTATGTGTACGATACAACATACTATAAGACTTCCCGCACCATCGACTGGGACTTTGTTTGCGATCGTCGCTGGATGGGTGCCATCATTCAAACGGTCTTCATGTTGGGTACATTCACGGGCGCTGTTACGTTGGGTGGCCTGGCAGATAAGGTCGGCCGCAAGACCGTCTTTTGCTGGTCGGCACTGCTGCAGCTATTTGTCGGTGTAGGCGTGGCTTTCATTCCGGAATACTTTTCGGTCATGGTGGCGCGTTTTATCCTAGGTATAGTGGGCTCGGCAGGTGCCTATATATGCGGCTTTGTACTGACAATGGAGCTGGTGGGCGCCACCAAACGGACAGTATGCGGTATTACATTCCAGGTGAGCACAAAATTTTGATTATCACATTGTAATACAAAGGTTTTGTCATATGAATATTCTAGATCGATATTCTGAATCTAAAAACCAAACTCAATCAATTCACAGCTTTGAGAAAATATAGGTCAAGGCTTTTAACAAAAAAAAAATTAATACGTCTCGAAAACTTGTAATGAAATTAAAGCTTAAACCGTGAAATTTACCAACAACGCCAATTGAATAGATGCCGACTCTATAGAGAAAATATTGTTCAAATCAAATCATTTCTTTCATGCAGCGTTAATTGATGTCTTTCTTTCTTTTTGCAGGCTGTCTTTGCTGGTGGCATAATGCTCGTTGCCGGCTGGGGTGCCATTATTAAGGATCGTCAAATGCTGCAGGTGGTATATGGGTTGCACGGTTGCCTGTTTTTGGCCCATTGGTGGCTGATGGATGAGTCGCCGCGCTGGCTGTGGATGCAAGGACGCGCCGCCGAGGCAGTGGACATTGTGGCAAAGGGACTACGCATCAATGGCTCTGGCATACCCATAGATAAAGACTACTATGTGCAGAAGGCCAAGCAACAGGCTGCTGTTGAGGAGAAGTCGAGTGCTGGTCTCGGCGATCTCTTCCGCACGCCCAACTTGCGGATGAAGACCCTGAACGTGTGCCTCTGTTGGTTCGCTAACTCAATTGTCTACTATGGCCTGTCGCTGAGTGCTGGCAAGCTTTACGGCAATCCCTATCTGATACTGTTCCTTATGGGTCTGGTGGAGTTCCCTAGCTATATAACCATTGTTTTTGTCCTGGATCGCCTGGGACGTCGCTCCATAACCTCCACTCTGATGCTAGGTGGCGGCCTCTGTTGCATTGTGGCCGCCTTCATAGCACAGGGAACCACATTGTCCACCAGTATTGTGATGTTGGGTAAGCTGCTCATCGCTGGATCCTTTGCTGTCATCTACAACTACTCGGCGGAGCTGTTTCCCACTGTGGTGCGTAACTCAGCCATGGGATTGGGCTCAATGTGTGCCCGTCTCTCTGGCGCACTGACACCCCTGATTACTCTGCTTGGTGATTCATTTGATCCCAAGATTCCGGCTGTGCTGTTCGGTGTGGTTGCCTTAGTGTCCGGCTTCTGGGTTATGTTCCTGCCGGAAACAATGAACAAGCCCATGCCAGAGTCCATTGAGGATGGCGAGAACTTTGGCAAGGGTGACACCTGGTTCAGCCAATGTGCTGGCCGGAAGCCACGCCAGGATAGTATTTATCCCGACGATCCTGAGCAAATGGTGCCGCTCAAGACCATCGAAAGTAAATAAGATATGCCAAAGTTTTGTTTTGTTAAGCTTAAGACACATCTATACCGACACATGCCCACATACACACTATCAGCTGCTTTTGCGGTGTTACTTTAGTTAGGTTTCATCATGTTAATAAATTACATAAAGTACATCTTTTTGGAGCTATGGACCAGAGACATGCAATCAAATGATGCTCTGAAGTCGCCGTATCTCACTGTTATTTCAAATATGTGCTTTAAGCTGTTTTCATTTTACATTTGAAGAGAAACGTAGCACTAAAGAAGCTTGTAGGATTGTCACATGGAAGATATATTCCATGAGAACTATAGTTCTGAGAAATGGAGGTGATCCAAAATATCAGGTTAGCAAATTCATTAACCACTATGACAATCAGATCAAGCTTAAAAGTATGCTGCTAGTATTGTTGCATGTTTATCTATTTATATTTCGGGCCGATATTTATTTGTTATGTTACATTTACTAATAATTAGAATTATATCTGAGAGTGATGAAATCATTTGGTTATCGTCGTCTTCAGAAGTTCGGGGCAATGGTCCGTTAATAACTAATAATTTGATTAAAACAGTAACAGGTGGTCTTTAAGTCAAATTCTATTTTGGTTTCTGTTACAAATCAGATGTAATTGAGCTGAATTTATATTCAGTAACAGCCTTGTTGAAAATGCACAATAAGTATGTGAGAGCCTGGGATGGGATTCACAAATCGCTGCAAAACTGGCAAACATATGGCGACCGCATTGCAAACAATTCACATTTTCTCACGTCAATTAAAGGACTTTGTATTGTTTTTTGTTTAAAATGGTTTTTGATTTTGGTTTTTAGGTACAATGAGAACATTCATTTTGAATTTGAATATAATTTCATTTTTCATTTACTTGTTATTGAATTGTAGCTAATGTGTATACATATATACGTATTTCAATATCAGATATAGATATCCGAATTCTCTCTGGCTTACAATTAGATTAACATTTACATATAAACTATATATATATATATATATATAAGTGAACATATACATAGTTTTATATCCGAATTTCCGTTTGCGATTTCTTCGTCATCTTGAGTGCAAAAGTTCGTTTTTTGCAGCTACTTGCAAACATATTTTGTTATATTTCTTTTTTAGCATGAAGGTACATTTAGATATTGTGGATAGCCACATCGATACAAATTGAAACAGACACCAAGAGAGAGACAACGCGATTTCGTATGCAAACAACAAACACATCTAGAATCAATTGGAGTTAACAGCTCCACTTGGCGTACATTAAGATAAGCTAATGTTTGTAAATGCTCGACGGCAACGCTCGCAGCAAATCATAAGGAGACGGGAAACCGAAACTTCAAAACGCTCCAAACGTGAGAGTACAAGTACTTAATATAAAACATAGCTACGTGTAAATTAATCACAATCGAATTTTGTTTTTAAGAAATTATTTACAAAAAATTCTCTCAACCGCCAGGCTGCCCACACTGCTGCCCATTCACAATGGCCAAATGTTCAGTCATCTGGCTTGCCATAGCTCTCATTCCAAACATTTCGTATTAAGCTCGTAGTTTGGCGCTTATGCGCGCTCCGGACATTTGGTTTGTACAATTGGTGCTTTGGGCTGGAGTGCTGTGCCTACGCTCCCGGTCTCGGGCAGCACAGCGGTGTGCACAATAATTGCTGGCTGATCCTCGCTCTGTGGGTGCAGCTCGTGGGATTCGCCGGGCGTCAAGCTGGCCAATGCAGCGAGCAGATCGTGGTTTACCAACGGCTCACCTTCCTCGCGCGGCTCCCAGCCGGCTGGTGGTGAGGCGGGCGGAGAGATAAGGAACTGTTTGACCGGCGCCGGTGGCTGTAGATTTTTGTTGTTAACAGGTGTCACCGGCTGAGCAAAGTAGCAGGTGATCACCGTCTTTTTGTTAAACTCGTATTGGTGCAGTTTAATGCGCGCGTTGGCCGCTGCAACGGCATTGTCATAGTTCACCCGCAGCCGGCGAAAGCTGCGCAGCCACTGGAAAGTAGCCGACTCGCTGAAAGTACGGAACAGCTCCTCCATGTCGTGCTTAAGCTCGGGATTAGCAAACACCTCCGAATGTATGTTGGTCACTATGATCGAGGTGGGCAGATCGTCAAACGAATCGGGATCCACCTCCGGCTCCGTATCGGTGTCCACGTCAGCTTCGGGCGGCAGCGTCGGGTGCTGACTGGGCAGACCGTCGGCTGCGTTTATATAAATATCCTGATCCGGTGACAGTTTGTCTATGCTTCCGCCGCCGCTGCTGTTCTGCGTTGACTTTAATTTGCTGCTGTTATTATTATTATGGTTGCTGCGTGGTAGTGTCGTCGTTGGTGTGACATTGCCGGCATCCCCATCTGCGCTCGCCGCGCTGGCTGCGTTGTTATTCGACTTGGACGTGTCGGACATGGCTGGGCTGTAATAGAGAGCGAGAAATAAAATTAAGTCAGTGTGAGTATTTCAACTATCTACAAAGCTTGTACGCATACGAGTTGTAAAGTGTGGAGCAAGATGTTTCCACAAACTATTTCCAACTATGTGTGAGAAGAGAAAGGCATCTCCGTTGTTCAAGGTCAGAGGAAAGCGGAAGTCTGTATGTTAAGGCAAGTGGAAAAAATTTATAGCCCACTCCACACTCCGCTGCTCACTTCTGGATGAAGCTCTGCCTTTTGCTAGAACAATTATATATATTCTGCTTTCAAAGGAAAATAGACAAGTTAACCAAGAAACGAACCTGACTGTTTTTTTTTTTTAGCCAGATAGTCAAATTAAGGACAGCAATCATCCTTTCATCATTGCCTAACTAATTTTTGTGGTCTATCACCAACAGAGATCATTAGCACCTTTAATTTATAATTGCAAATTAATGTTAATTTATCTAATGATACTCTTTTTGGTTAAGCGTGGCCACACACAAAAAATGCTCTTAAAGAATGAAACAGATCCTTTAAACCAACGTGTTAATTGCCACATTTTCCTAATTGCTAACTACTAAAACTCATTGACGTAAAACCGTTGGAGCAAGTGCTCCAAAATATTTACGACCAAAAAACTACAGACGTGTCTACAGATATTTAGAATACAAGAAAACTAGTAAAAAGGAAAAAAATAAAAACTAAAAGAAGGGGAAATGTGGATTGGGGTGGTGAAGTAAACTTAAGTATCGCCACGTGAAGGCAATCAATAGCGACTGTGAGCTCGCTTTGGTGACGCACTGTTGATTCACAACTGCTCTTGATTTTATTGTTATATATACATATATATCCTATATATGCTATATACCCTAAATATAGGTTAAATGAGGGGCTGGGTGATTAATAGCATTGGCGAATTTTTGTGAATGAATGAAAATGAGCAGAGTCGGCGCGACAAGGCTACGGCATGGGGACAATGACGTCCTCGTTGTCGTCGCCTTTGACGTCGTCCCTGCCATAGGCGCTGCTGTTATTAGGTTTGTTGTTGTTCTTTACGGCAGCACCTGTGACTGGGTTCAATTTGCCGACACGAAGCCAAGAAACTTTTACCCACTTTTATTATGATGATTACTATTTTGGGCCAAGCATAGTTTTAGATTAGCGCTCAATTGTATGCTATAAAATGCGTACTTCCTTGCAGACTGAGCGCCCGTCTATTTATATAGCGTCTAGCAACAGTGAACAAATATCTAGGCTTGATTAAATATTTGGTTAATATTAGTTTACAACAGATGACTGCTATTTTATTGTTTTCTTCACAGCTAGGTAGTCAAAGTGTTTTTCTATATCACAAAAAAATTATTAAAAAGCACAATAAAATTCTCATATAGATTTTTACAAAACCATTAAAACCATTTTTCCCATTTTTAATGGGCTCAGGGTTTGAAAATGATACAATATCAATCAGGGCAAAATATAGTCTTACTTGAATTTAAAAAGATATGGGGTAACAACTTCTATTGCTTTACATTTTTATTTTATTTAATTGCAATTATGAAGGAAAATCTTCCCACTTTCAGACACACTTCAAACAATCTAAAATTTAAAGGTTAAAATAAAATATCGAATCGCAAACCAGCATCTACTATGGCTCATCGTCTAACTTTAGTTACATAAATTCTGTATAACTCGCTCGTTTGTGCGTCATCAATCAATCAGTCGGGAGACACAAAACGAAAAGAAAAGAATTATACCTGCATTCGCTGATAATTGGACTTCAATCACTGTTTTTTTTTTTAATAAATAATTTCAACTTTTATTTCTACTGAGCCAAATAGAGTATAGGAGTCGCGTACTTTTTTAAGGCTCGCTCCCATTAACATATCTAAGCTGCCATTAACTCATTCCCTGCAATTGCAAATGGATAATTTAATTGAAAATGTGCTGGCGATTGGCACTTTTGTGGTTTGTTTTTCATTAAATTTAAATGCAATTACGAACATGGGCAATGTGCTATCTAGCTATTGACAGGGCTATTATGGCAAATTGACACATTCCCGTGGTTGAGGGCGAAGGCAACTGTCAAGCGCAGACTTTAAAGTGCGCGACTCGGGGCTCTAGGACGCTCAGCGGACTAATATCCATGTCACTGGACAAGATACGGTGACCGCCCGCAGTGAAAAGCTTTGGTTGTTGTTTTCGCGTTTTGTTTTGTTTTTTTTTTTTTGTTATTGTGGCCACGTTTCGTTGGCTTAGCGTGGCGCACAGATGCAAAGTACGAGCGCGATAGGAAGTACAATAAAAACAATGGCCAAATTCAAACAGTAGCCCCAAATGACGACAGCGACGCAGTAGACCTGAACGTGTCCACAAGAACGAGGACAACGTCGATGGCACTGGCGACTACGACGAGTTGATCTATTTCTGGATGATTGATTTGCTTAAAAAACATATACAAACACACATTGAAACATATACACACACATACACCCATAAAGTTCTTGCTCGTGCGGAAGTTAAGCTCTCTCTGTGTTCGCATGACGTATGCATTATTATGCTGAGTTTCGTTCAGTGAGCCTTTTACTGAATGGGTCTGCTGGAAATACGTTTCAATTGTAGTCTGAAGGTGAGCGTACTGCTAGGTAAATGGAAACCAAAAAATGCAAGTAACTGAGGGAGGTGATGGGCGGACTCTCTAGTAAACGAGCGGCTTGCATGCAAATTGTGTGGCTGCCTGGAGGACGTCATCATTTGTTTGCATGCCAAAATAATAGCAAAGTTCTCTTAGGAAAGGCGCCATAGCTATAAAAAGCAAATGTGGGAAGCCTGGCTTAAAATATATAAACGAATAAAGACAAAACAACGTCCAGCGCGGCTCAGCCTGATGATGAATTGGCCGACGCTCGTTATCCTGCGACCTTCACTCATTCATAATTGCTGTCATTATTATATCAAGTTGGTCCCTAGCAAATTATAAGAAGCCTCCGCCTAGTTTGCATAGTGGGCGTCAACCTGGCAGAGCTTGGTATGCTAAAATGTTGGCACACAAGTACGGAGAATTTTTGTAAAAAAAAAAAAAAAAAAAATATTCTGATTGCCATAAATAGATCAAACGTGGTAGTGCAGACAATGCAACAGCCGGTGAGAGTTGAAGGAGCTCGGTCAAGCTTGACCTTTGAATTTTACCAAAGCTAAACACATTCATTTCAATGTTTGAAGCATAACTTTATTGCTATTTTTGGCTTCTGCTTATAAGTTCTTGTAACTATGGCAAATTCATAGAGCTTTAAATAAGACTTAGAACTAATTTAATTGGATTCCACTTGAAAATACAATCAAGTCCTGATGAGAGCGTGCCTGCTAATAGTTAATCAGAGAGAGTGCAATTGCAACTGAAAGTTCACAGTAGTCTGTCATTTCCGTCGCCCTTCGCCTGACCTTCAGGAGAAAAACAGAACATGTTTCATTGCCAATGCGTGGGATAATCTAATTTGATTTCAACCAATCAATTCGAAACTGAACCTGCACACGGTATTCATATGTGGCACGTATGCTCGTATGCTTGCAACGCACATTTATTCAATATTTGATTCATGTGTGGGCTTGTTTTTGCAATTGAAACATGCCCAGTTCAATATTTAATTAAAAGTTTCTGAAAGTTGATTATGCCGCATTCAATGCGTCTGACCCATGTTCCGATTTCCATCTGTCCAACCCAATGCAAAGAATTTATGAATTACGCAGTATTTAGTTTTACTTATTTTATTTAATTTAGACTCACAATTTTTGCAGTTTTTGCTTTAAAACAAAATGCGATTTGCTTCTTCTGTACTGTAGTGTATGAAGACAGCAAATTATTTTTATTAACAACATTCTCTTTCTGCGTTTGCATGAATAATGTAAAGCCTTAAGCATTTCAAGCAACAGCAAAAGCAAAAGGAAGCAACACCCACAGCTCGAGCTATTTATGTACCTAGTATGCGAAACGCCCACCTAAAAGTCTGCAATGCTTTTTATAACACTCTATATATAATTTAATTGAGCATCATATGACGCGTGCAGCTTGCCAGGCTGCCACCCAGCTGGTTGCAAGTGTCAGCGGCAGCCGGTTCGTTAATTGTTTATAAAGGTGAACCGAACATTGTGTCATAATGCACCAATACATGTAACAACACAATACATGTAAGTGGATATGTGCCTGCACATAGTCATGCGTGTGTACACACTGCGTATGCACAATTTTCTTTATGTACTACGGAGCTGAAATAGGGTGGAAGGCTTCCGCTTGTGGATTGCCGTGTGGGCATGTCGCATGCTACAAATGCCACGGATTTCTTATCAATGGAATGCTTTCACTGCATTCAAAAATTCCGCTGAATTAGCAAGCACAGTTTTAACCCAATCCTGTTGTCAATTCATTGAAGTATATTATTGTTGTTGTTTTTTTTTTACACTTTTTCGCATTTGGTTGACTAATTAAAGGTAATCCCTTAATCCATTTGACAGTTGCCTACCGCATCGTCATTTATCGCGGGTTCGGCCCCACGCTGCCCACTCACTACGAAGCGCACACACATAATTCACCAAGTATATATATGTATATATATTTATATATTACACGTATGTAACGTTAAGAGTCATCCCTACGAAACTATATTTGTATCTATAATGCCCGCATGCGATTAAATCGAGCGCGTGTGGTTGGTTGGGTGGCTTTGGGTGTACTAGAATAGCCTCCGCAGCATGGATTGTTGCGGCATTGTGACCTTTAACATTGATGGCGTATTGCTGCTAGCCTGTCGCTGGCTGCTTCAAAGCTGCCTCAGAATGGCACAGCTTCAATTTCTGCTGGCTCAATGCTTTTGCCCGTCATGACAATGGCAGCTTTTGTAATTACCCGACACATTCAGGCACAAGCTGTTAATAAAATCGTTTACACGCCGATAAGCAGGCAATCCAACAAAATTGCTGCATTCCATGTATTCAAATAGATGAACAATAT